TTATAGGAACCGCGTTCAAAATTAGTCAGTGGGCGTGGCACAGCCCACTTTTAGGTGAAAACCCATATCTTGAGATCTTCTCAAACCGATTTCAACCAAATTCGGTGCATAACGTTTTTTTCATGTTTCTATGTCATAGTGCGAAAATGGGCGAAATCGGACTACAACCACGCTTACTTCCCATGTAACACCATTTTCAATTCCATCTGATTCTTTCACTTTTCACTATGCAAATCAGGTAACAATTATTATATCGGGGTAAAACTTTGCGTGAATAATGCGTCTAAAGTATGCCACCTTGCGGCCAAAAATTGTCTAAATCGAACCAAAACTGTTCAAACCCCTAAGTACTAAATATGTGGACCCCAATGCCTATAGTTGACCTTCTACCGAAAATATCAGTCAATCCACAAAGAAATCTCAAACGAGTATACCATTTGACTTTGCGAGAGTATAAAATGTTCGGTTACATCCGAACTTAGCTCTTCCTTACTTGTTCAAGTTATTTTCTTCCTCTTCTTAAAGTTACATTCATTAGTTTTGGCCAAGTAAAAAGTTCGTTCGGTTTTTATTTAAGAGATGGCGTTATTGTCTATAGTACTAGTGTTACGTGTCGCATCATGTCATAGTCTTCGGCGCTGAAAAGGTGTTTATTCGCGCTAAAAGAGTATCTTTGACAGTTTTTCGATTGATTGACTCAGTACATTGTGAGCGCTCGTCAAAGATGGACACCAGCAAAGAGAAAATTCGCTATATTTTACAATTTTTGTTCAATCAAGGCGAAAAAGCAGCCAAAGTGGCTGAAAAAATTAATTTAGTTTATGGGCCCGATACTGTAGCACGTGTATTAACTTTATTTAATTGCTGAGGAACTAAAGATAAGCCAGAAAACCGTTGGGTACTATTTGCATAACCTTGGGTTCAAAAAGAAGCTCGATGTTTGAGTGCCACACGAACTAACGCAAAAAACATGATGGACCGAATTTCCATCTGTTTTCATCCCTACTCACTCTGTGAAAATGGGTGAATTCGGATTATAACTCCGCCCACTCCCCACAAAATGGTTGTGTCAATAACTATTGTATGTGCGATAAATCTATATACATATGTGTAAATGTGTCAAAAACATAGAATTTTACAACTGAGATGATTTTATTGGATATGGTGACCAATTTGGACAATGCACGTGACACCGCTTACATACAGGTGAAAACTCATATGTCGGGACCTTCTCGACCGATTTAACCCCCATTCGATAGGTAGTATTATCCTAACATTCCTACATTACAGTGTGAAAATGGGTGAAATCAAGATCATCGAAAAACAAAAACCACACCTACTTTCCATATAACACAATTTTAAACTCCATCTGTATCTTTCCCTTTCCAGTATAGAAATCAAGAATCAATCAATGTATCCGAATAAAACTTTGCACAAATAGTGTCTTTAAGGTGTGCCACCTTACAATCAAAAATTGTCCAAATCGGACCAAAATTATTCAAGCTCCCAGATACCGAATATGTGAACCCAGCTCCTGTTGCGAACTTTTTATCGAAAATATCGGTATATGTGAGATATATTATATTAAAGAAATTCGGTGAGAATTCTTCTGTTTTTCTAATAACGGTGTAATATGCATAAAATGGATAAAATCGATTGAAAACGTTTCTTACCTTCATATAACTAATATCAAGAATTTCAGACATCTAGTTGACTTTACACCTTATATATATGTACTGGTGAGAGTATGTGGGTCGTCGCTAATAAAAATCAGAGACCACCTCTTTCTGTTAAAAATACGTCGTAATGGTAATAATAGATAAAATCTAGTCAATATCTACCCCTATCTCTCATATATATAATAAAATATTTTCAAACCTCCGGCGGGCTTTATACCGTATGTATTGTTCAATATGTGAGATATATTAGCAAAATTAACTGAAAGGTAGTATTAGATATTCTATGGTTTATACAGGTTTATCAAAATAATTTAGTATATGACCTATAATAGTCTATGAGCCATAGATACAAATTTGATTGTCATCAATTCACGACTTCGTCGAACGATGAATGTTGAGGTATTATAAAAATTACGAGCTAGGAATAGAAGAATCTTGGTTTAGTTAAATTAAAGTTTTAACTTAAGACTAACATAAGTTAAAAACAAGTAAGGAAGGGCTAAGTTCGGATGTAACCGAACATTTTATACTCTCGCAAAGTCAAATGGTATACTCGTTTGAGATTTCTTTGTGGATTGGCCGATATTTTCGGTAGAAGGTCAACTATAGGTACTGGGGTCCACATATTAAATACTTAGGGGCTTGAACAGTTTTGGTTATTCACGCAAAGTTTTACCCCGATATAATCATTGTTGCTTGATATGCATAGTGGAAAGTGAAAGAATCAGATGGAATTAAAAATGGTGTTATATGGGAAGTAGGCGTGCTTGTAGTCCGATTTTCGCACTATAACATAGAAATATGAGAAGAATGTTACGTACCGAATTTGGTTGCAATCGGTTAAGCAGATTTCAAGATATGGGTTTTCACCTAAAAGTGGGCTGTGCCACGCCCACTGTCTAATTTTGGACGCGGTTCCTATAAAGTCATCTCATACCATCCCAGAGATAAAATTTAATGTCTCTGGCGTATTTAGTGCTTGATTTATCGCGCTTTTAGTAGTTTTTAACAGTACCGTTATATGGGGAGTGGGCGGAGTTGCCACCCGATTTCANTATTTGTTTTTGATTAATGGCGTTTTGTGGGCGTGGCAGTGGTCCGATTACGCCCATCTGCAATACCAACCGTCTCACGGTACCCAGAAACATGTCTACCAAGTTTCATAAAGATACATAAATTTTTACTCAAGTTACACCTTGCACGGACGGACGGACGGACAGACAGTCACCCGGATTTCAACTCGTCTCTTCCTCCTGATCATTTATATATATATAACCCTATATCTAACTCGATTAGTTTTAGGTGATACAAACAACCGTTAGGTGAACAAAACTATTATACTCTGTAGCAACAGGTTGCGAGAGTATAACAAGTAAAGAAGAGTCTTGTATCTTGTTGTGGATCTTAGTTATGGCAATTTATTTGTTTTTGAATAATGGCGTTTTGTATCAGCGGTCCGATTACGCCCATCTGCAATACCAACCGTCTCACGGTACCAAGAGGCATGTCTACCAAGTTTCATAAAGATATTTAAACTTTTACTCAAGTTAGACCTTGCACGGGCGGACGGACAGACAGTCACCCGGATATCAACTCGTCTCTTCATCCTGATCATTTATATATATATAACCCTTTATCTAACTCGATTAGTTTTAGGTGAACAAAACTATTATACTCTGTAGCAACAGGTTGCGAGAGTATAAAAATCAGTCATAAATGACAGTTTCTGTGACAAAACATTATTTATTTATTTAAATTGTTGTAGCTTTGTTAATATTTTGCTGAAACTTTGCTTTCATCTTTATTTTTTTCACAGTTTACAAAATGACCCCTGTGGAATAAACTTGTGATACGAGAGACTATTCTACTGCAAACATTTCTTCCTGCTTAAGTATTGTTATTCTGTTGACATTTCGAGTGTTGAAATCGTTTAACTTTTATAGTATTTTCTCCTAATTGCGAACTTAGAACTTATTTTACGCTCTCTGTTCAAACTATTCGTAAGGAATTAGCTTCCTTCAAATGTTTTTGGATATAATTTTTTGATATCAAAATGGTTTGCCCATTTATATTTTCAAATATTTTTTCCCATTTCACATTGTATGTGAACCTTACTCAATTTGAAGTGAATATCTTCTTCGAAATCATCCACTTTAAAATGCTTATATCAAGTTTGGACATTTGTTAAATCTTCATTTTTGGGAGAGCTAAAAAAATAAATATTTGCACCTATGTTAATAATATACATATGTATGTATACGCAAATGTGAAGAAAAATAATAATTAAGCTTTCAGTCAGAATTGCACTAAGAGTATGTATGTATATAGGTATTTCTGTAGTATACTAACAATGTATCCTCTTTTGTTTATTTCTATTTTCATTTGGCAAATTTGTTCAAAATTAATTTTTTCATATGACTCACAAGAATTTTATCCACATTTTTGCGAACAATTACCCACTTCGTCGTTTTGAATTTTGAAACGTGATTTTTGAAAAATTTAAGTCCTTACCACTTCTAAAACGCACGTGGATATATTTAAAAAAATGTGTAGAAATCGTTTTTGATGTTTTTTTATAAACAATGCGAGCCCGCTGCAAATTTACAACTGGCGTTAGAGTTGCTATGTATATAAGTTTTTTTGTAAATCCCAATTCTAAATGCATAACCATTTTATAACATCTATAATACACGTCCTTACCAATTGCTTATGTTTGTATTGGTTCATAATTGTCATTTGTATTAACCCAAAGTAAAAATTTTTGCCAAAGCTTTTTGCTGTGAAATTATTTTTCCAAAAATAATCAAAAACGAAAAAATGCCAAATATAAATTGATATTTACATTGTTGAGTTTTAGTTTAAACCTTCTAATAATTCTAAGATTTAAATTTACACAAATTTACAAGCACATAAAAAATTGTGTATGATTTTTTTAAACAATGGGCGTTCTATGGGTTAATGAGAGAAAACTACTTATACATACAAACCCCTTCATGTATACATTATCAAAAAAAAATACTGCCAAAGGCTGGTTCACTGTATACACATGTACGTAGATATATCATATATATGTACTCCATTTTATTCAAACAGTGTTTACTTTAATTTATTTTAACAATTCATTTCATTTGCTCACCTTACGGAAACTTTTGGTTGAATAGCGCTTCTAAAAAGCTCATGGCACCAATTTGTACATGGCCTTTAAATAACATTTTCACTTCCCAACATCCTGAAATGCATCGCGTTGAGGCCTCAAAGCGATTTACTTTGGATATTAGCATGCGGATATAAATGCATACACACATATATACATACATATACAAGCAGGAAACGGTGTGGCAGTGAATGCAGCGGAAATACAAATAAAACGTGTGCATTTAATTATATTTAAGTAAAGATGCATTTGAATATAGCTGTATAAAATTGATTACACATAACGGTGCTTTCACAGACATTTTTTGGGAATCTCTAATACTAATACATGTTTATATTGACTAGAATTTAATGTGCATACATCCTCGTATGTATGATATGTGTTTTCTACTCATATTTATCAACTTTTTTAAATAATTGTGTTTTAAAACTATTTATTCTAGCTTAACGGTGCATTTTGGAAAAGCAGGCATACATTGGGCTCCCCTAACTAAATGAAATGTACGTGAAACAATTAGTTGAAATTTTAGATTTCATTAAATACCATTTTAGAGCATTGGAGTGTTTCGTTAGTTGCTTCTGTAAAAGCTCTTCTTAGGCGTAATTTTCGGCTTTCGGACAATGTTCGGGGCATTAGAAGAACACCCTAAAGAAAAATTTTTGGTAAAACTTATTTATTCAACTGATTATATTCATACAAAATTCAGATATATGGTTATGCGAAAGTACTGATATGTTCATAAAAAAGAAAAAAGCTGTAAATATAATTATTGTAATTTAACTAATTTTAAATATGAATATATGAATGAATGTGTTTTATTCTGAGCATTCCTCACATCAGCCTTAAAAGAATTATCTCATAAATCGCCACGATCTATACTTTGTTTACAAATTAAACACTTCTCACATATGAGTAACTAGCAGAATAATACAGACTGTAATAACAAATGATGAACTTTCAAAAAATATTGAATATTGATTTCGACTTTTGTTTTCCCTGAAACTGCAGAAATACATAGCTGAAGAAAATTAATAAAATTTAGAGAGATTATATTAAGGCAAAATTATGACATGTGCCATGTGCATAATTTTGATTTCATTAATTGTATAATTTTTTTATTTGAAAATTAGTGTAATTATATTTATTAAGGACAAAGAATACATTAGAATTATGTAAATATATACAACCATGACACTTCTCATTTGAAAGGCACTGTTAGAACTGATAGGATATCTTATTCCCTTACCTCTTCATTTAACATTTTTAATGCATGAGTAGGGTTCAATGACATACAGTACATTATATTTTCAAAATATTTTCTTACATATGAATTTGTATGTAAATATAAATATTATAATGTTGTAAATATGAGTACTTTTGAATGTGTAAATGCATTCTTCAATTAACCTATGCATATGTATGTATGGAAATGAGTGGTATTTCTATGCATATTCCATTTGAAAGTATGAACCCTAGCGTGTACGAGGATAAAAAGTTACATAAATACATCGCGTTTGATTACCTGTTTGAAAGGTCGCATACCACCGTTTATGCGTAACGAATCGGCAGCTATTCCTGCAATTCCATCGGTCGCACTATCTCGCAAAATCTTCAGAGAAACGTTCGGAACGGTGTGCGAGTGCCCGCAAGAGCTATGTGCTCCACAACAAATGGCTGTGGTACTGGACTCTGGCTGAGAGCTTTGACGGATTATGCGAGATCCATTCGTAGGTGACGAAGTAACTAAAACAGACGGTGGGGCGTTTTGTTGCATCGCCGAGCTGGAAATCGACAGGTTACCCTGTTGAAAGGCACTTTTGACACTGTCTTTCGACGTTGAGCGGTCCATACCAACACTGGCTGTAGTGGAGAGAGGCGTAGTTGATGCTCGTCGACTACAGTTACGACAAGCGCGACAACGATTTTGTACACTGGTAGAAATACCACAAGAAAGATTCTGATATGATGATGTTCCCAAATTTGGATTACTATGCGGATTACCATACTCTTCTAATGTCTGATACGTATTCAAATTCGTTATTGATATGGTTGGTTGAGAAATTTGTTGCAGAAGTTGCGATCGCGAATTCGATTGTTGTGCATGTTGCTGTTTTAAATGGTTCGACTCTAATTTTTTCTGGGTTGTTTGCTGTTTATTTGAATTTTCTTCATATACTTCAATATCGGGTACTACTCCCGGCCGTAGTCCCTGTTCGATGTCATCATCTCCCCCGACACCGCGTACGCTTTCCTCCGATCCAAGACGAGTTTGTTGGGATAGCTGGGGACTCGTAAGATAAGTGGAAGTACGATCCTGGCGTATTAACGCTGGCTTTCCGGTCGAGGAAGAACTCATGCTCGTCGCAGTTGGTCCATTTACTGAGCTCATTTTTATGTGCCTTAATACGGAGGACTTACATTTTGGCGTATTGGATACAAGCAGTGAATCAGTTTCTTCAGAGCTCACATAACCTGAATTCGTGCTTTCGGCTAGCTTTTGACTGGACATCTAAAAGTTAATAAAAATAAAAAATATAATGTATTTTCAAACGACAAATCCAAGATTTTTCTATAAATTTACAAGATATGATTATTTCCTTTCATTTGAGATTCATATATATCATATATACATTAATATGTATCTTACGAACGTTCTGTACTTCAAAAAGTGTTCTTTGATAGTTTCTAAAACTTAAATAATAATGTAATTGGTGACTATTGTTTTATTGCCTTGAATCATTTAATTATTGCTAATATATCTATTATATTGTAGGTAGCAAGGAGCTTAGGCTATGACCAGCTAACTTTAGCTTGTAACGTGTTTTAATAACAAAATGTTAACAGAAATTCAATATGTTCAAAAAGCAAAGTGTAGCAATTTTTTAATAACCCAACGATTACCCTCCTCCCGCCCAACCGACGCGAGGGGCGCAATCCGCGTACGTGCGGAATTAGCTGAGTCAGAAAAGGAAAGAGAGTTTTTTAAGTGTTGAGATCTAAAACTGCTCAGCTACAGAAACAAAAATTTAAACAGCTAAGATCTAAAGTTACAATATAATAAATTGTTATATTTTCATTTATAAAGAGAAAACAATAAAGTCTTTTTAATTTTGAAAAGTGAGTCAATGTGCTGGAATGAGAATGAAAATCATGACATATCTAAACTGCCTCGAAAGGCGAACCGGGATATTAAATTTAATTTCAGACAGGAGAAGAGAACTGCAAACAGTTTCATTCAAAAGTTTCACTAAGAATATTATGTCAAGCATTTCCCTACGACTAGAAAGTGTAGGTAGATTAATAAGTTTTAAACGACTAGTGTATGGAGGTAGACTTACCCTAGCATCCCATCGGAAATGCGCTAAGGCGAAAAGTAAAAATTGTTTTTGAACCGACTCTAACTTGTCAGAATGGATTTGGTAGCTAGGGTTCCATACCACAGAGCCATATTTCAATATAGGTCTAACCAAAGTTGTATAAAGTGTTTTAGTAATATACGGATCTCTAAATTCTTTAGACCAACGTTTAACAAAACTGAGGACAGCTTTTGCTTTCAAGACCATGGTATTAATATGAAGACTGAAATTAACTAGGGTCCATATTAACTCCCAAATCAACATAGTTAAAACCTTTCTAGAATATTGTATTACATAAGAAGAGGTGCACAGATCTACAGGAAAAGCACATCGTCTTACATTTTGAGATTCAATGGAAAATCATTTCTATCACACCATGCAACCAAATTTTTAAGTCTGTTTGCAACAGACACCTTTCCTCAGTTGAAGTGTATGATTTAAAAGCTTTACATCGTCAGCGTATAATAAAATTTTGAGAATTCTATTACTGAAGAGATATCGTTAATAAACAACAAGAACAGAATCGCCAAGATGACTACCTTGCGGAACACCTGAAGAAACATTAATTGTATCTGAGAGTGTATCCTCAAATATCACTCTTGTGTTCTATATAAATTAGGAAGATACCTGAAGGAGTTGCTGAAAGCCAACAGATCAAGTTTATTATGAGAATAGAGATTTTACTTTATCGAAGCTTTCTAAATTCTGTATATAACATCCGTATGCTTATGTTCCTAAAACCCAATGATACATGTTTACAAATTCAGTAAGTTTTTATAGTCGAGTTCCTTTACGAAATCCATGCTGAGATAGAAATTAACGGAGAAATCGAAAAGGTTATATGGTCAGTGATGCTACTTCAAAAGTTATTATAACTGATAGTTTTGCAATACCTCTATAGTTTTCAATTGGATCTAAATCCACTTTATACAAAGGATTATAAATGACTGTTTCCATATTGAAGGAAATATACCTTTTAAGAGAGGAATTAAATATCCTGTCAAAGGCAATAAATATATTTGACTATTTTTAGGAAGTATGAGGGTATCATGTCTGCCATAACTAAAATATGTTTTAACTTATTTAAATTAAATAGGACCTCTTCTTCAGAAATAATTGAGCGTTAATTAAAGTATTCGAACACAGCACTTGCTGATAAGAAAAGTTTTGGAAGAATTCTTGGTAGTTTGACTTGAAAATTCTGCAAACATATTGGATATAATATCATTGTTAGCAAAATGATAGATTTCTGCAAACATATTGGATATAATATCATTGTTCGAAATGATAGATTTGTATTTCATTGCGGACAAATTTGGAAATCCGCTTTGGAGTTGACGAAATCATAAAACGATTTTGGATTACTTACAATATTTTTACTTTATTTAAATAATTATTATAACATTTTGTTTAGGTCAAAATATTGTCGACGCAATAGAGAATATTTAGAATATCGACAAGTGAACCGGTTTAAAGGCTCGAGTTTTCTGTTTTCAATTTATATAACTCTTACGAAAACCACGGACTTATACTTTGCTGATTAACAATTACTATTGGAACATACTTTTCAAATAATTTCATAATAATGTTATTAAAATGAGACACTCAATTCAATGTCACCATTATAATTAGGCCATGTTATTGTAGAAAGTTCTGTATTCTTTTAAAATTAGCTTTTCAAAGTTAAACCGAGTACAGAAGCACGAAGTTTGATGATTATTATCCCGAACAATGCCTGAGATTTCGACAGATATTTCCAAAGCAGGATGATATGAGTCCTCTGGTAGAACAAGAGGTTACTCTTAATAACGGAACACTTTGCAGAGGTATCAACGTATACTAAATCTAAGCATTTACCAAATTTATTCGGAATCAAATTAATTTGGTTTAGACCCAACTCGGACATTTTTCGAAAAACTCATTAAAACATGACCGATTGCAAATCGGCACGATATAGTCATCGAAAGGTTTCACGAAGCACACGAAATTGAAATCACCTAATACAATTATTAAGATCTGCATTATTTGCCATCGAAGTAGCACTATTTAGTAAAGAAGCATGCTGCATGTATACAGATAAGTCCGTGTAATTGGTATATAAGATAGGTTAAATAAATAAGCAACTAATCGTATACTCCAATACATTTAAATTCAAATAGTCGGTCCCTGGAACAAGAATATTTTCAGATGGGATGGAGGAATGCACAAAATAGACACCTCCACCGATTCTGTTCAGTCGATCACATCTAAAATTTGAAATTCATTTAAATCTCATTATCAAAAATGTAGAGTTTTAACCAAGTTTCTTAATCCAATTATATGAAATAAAATTGGAACTGTTCAAATACAAGTCAGTTAATTTTGTATTAAGACCTCTAACATTTTGATAATAAATGCTGCAGCAATTTCTACCAATCAGTTTTTATATCGGTGGTTGCTTTTGGTAATTTAACAATGTTTTCCTCAGTTTGACTTCTAAGTTTAGGTTTAAATTCGCGTACAAAAGCCCCAGGTGGCCAGAATGAACTATCTAAGATCTTTTTGAATGTTTCAAGAGATACGTCTATTTTAAACGATGATATACTTCTATCATAATTGAAGTTAAATTTACGTATATTGATATCATCGATTTTTAAACGTGACGAAATGTAAGATATAATGTCTTCCACCAAGGTATCTTTGGCAAGTCTCAAAATAACTATAGACTTTTTAGGTGGAATAACTATCAAATTATTAACTGATGCTACTAAGTTATTAGGGGGAGCCTCTGGAATTGTGAGACACTAATTACTATTTGTATAATTGATTTGTAAGACCAATTATTAAACTCAATGAAGATTCTAATTGCCTTACCGCTGGTGGGGGACAGAAAATGACTTCATTGAGCTGAGAACTTATTCATTCTAATTTTATTTTATGAAATGTATGGCTTATATACTATTTACAAATCTTACTATATAATTAAATGTATATATATGTGTATGTGGCATGCACACCACATAGGGTTGTTTTTAAGTACNAGGAGTCTTGGCTGAAAGCCCAGCAGATCAAGTTTATGTATGAGAATAGAGATTTTTACTTTATCGAAAGCTTTGCTAAATTCTGTGTATATAACATCCGTATGCTTATGTTCCCTAAAACCCAATGATACATGGTTTACAAATTCAAGTAAGTTTTTTATAGTCGAGTTCCCTTTACGAAATCCATGCTGAGATGAGGAAATTAACGGAGAAATCGAAAAGGTTATATGGTCAGTGATGCTAGCTTCAAAAAGTTTAGTTATAACTGATAGTTTTGCAATACCTCTATAGTTTTCAATGTTGGATCTAAATCCACTTTTATGCAAAGGGATTATAAATGACTGTTTCCATATTGAAGGAAATATACCGTGTTTAAGAGAGGAATTAAATATCCTTGTCAAAGGCAAGTAAATATATTTGGCACTATTTTTAGGAAG